CATGTAGTACATTATCCCATTATCCCAGGTCTTTAGCACATCTTCAAGATACCAGCTTTTTTTTTTTTGGGGGGGGGGGGTGTCAGTCTTTTAGCTAAATGATAAATAGGCAATGTCTAATCTTTAAACCAAATCAGAATGCCATATTTCTACTCAAGGCCGGATTAGAACACCAATTTCATTCATCGGCAAAGAGAAGGTAGATTTCTCCCAATGAGATTTAATGAAACCCTGATACCCCCACCTTTTCAGATGGTAAGTGGAAGGTGGACTCTAAATCTGAACACATCAGGGATGTTGCCCAGCTTCCATTGCTAATGCTAAAGCTAATTCCTGTCAAGATAACCAATAAGAATGGTGGGTGATACGAAAACGTTTTTAGAAGGATCATAAAATAATTCAGTTTAGATCACGAATGTGGTTCTTGTAATTTATATGGACCTTTTTCTGAAGTCAAAATAACTAGTAACATAAAAAAAAATTAAAGTACCGCTAATACTTCACTATTTTTTGGTTGATAATTTGAATTAATGTATTTCCAACATGTAAATAATAATATACAAATGTATCTTTAAAATTTTGCTCCAAGCTTTCATTCTGTAGGTTTAAATTCTAATTTTTGAAAAATGTGAATTGGTTAGTACTTCCAATTTTTTTTCAGTTCCTGTCTTTTTATTTATTCATACACAACTACTTCTCTTCTGGTTTGTTGAAGCAGTAAGTCAGACAACACTTGCCATAGTAATGTCTGTCAAAATGGCTAGCTATGAAAACTCCAACACCAGGTTCATCAGATGGACACTCTTGATGAAGGAGACTAAATTTGCCATTTTCATCTACCTTATAGCACCTCAGCATAGCCAACTTAACCTTCTTTCTCTTATGCTTATTCTTATGGTGTAAGACTTCTTCCTCCTCTTAGCACCACTACGAAGTCTCAACACAAGATGAAGGGTGGACTCCTTTTGGATGTTGTAATCAAAGTACAGCCATCTTCCAGTTGCTTACCAGCAAAGATCAGCCTCTGCTGGTCAGGAGGAATTCCTTCCTTATCCTGGATCTTGGCCTTTACATTTTCTATAGTGTCTGAGGGTTCAACTTCGATCATGATGGTTTTCCCCGTAAGGGTCTTCACGAAAATCTGCATCTTGGCTGGGTTCCACCATGGATGTCTGATGGGAAAGCACTTCCAATTTTTTTTTTAATATTTTCTCCCACACTGAAACTTGTGAATACTAATAACATACACATAGGTAGTGCATACTTCATCCAAGAGATGACCAGCTATGTGACATCTAGCAAGTCATTTCAGGCTTACAGGCATGATTTTTTTTTTAACACCCTAAAATTAAAGTCTCAGATGTGCAAAGTGGCAGGTAACTGTAATCCCAAAACCTGAGAAGTGGAGGAAAGATCAGAAATTCACAGTTATCCTTGGCTTTATAGTGACTTTGAGGCTATCTTGAGATAGGTGACAAAGACCTGTCTCAAAAACTCAAAACTGGGTTTTGCCATGGTGAAATACACCTTTAATCCCAGGACTGGTAAACACAGGCAGGTGGATCTCTATGAGTTCAAAGCCAGCCTGGGATACATAGTCAGACCCTGTCTCTAAATAAAATAAAATAGAACAAAATTTGTACAAAATTCAAAATAATATAATGAGGTAAGTATCAGAGCAGCTTCAGAAATAGAAGTTCTTACCGTCAATTCTCACCTCTACCTCCTCCCAAGAAAAATATTTAGAAACCAGAATCTCTCTTCACCAATGTAGAAAAAATAGAGCTATTTTTCTCAAAGTACGAAATAATTACTAAAACACTCATCTTCACCAACCATTTAATCTTGGAGCTAGCAATACTAATAATAATGATGATAATGGTAATTTTAAATATCCACAAAACTCATTTGTCCAAAAGCAGATCACAGTACAACACCATCAGTTATGAAGTTCTGCAATCCCCAGGAAGAAGGATGTCACATGGAGGCAAAGAAGAATGAGGAACAGTTCTGACTAGGTTTCTTCACATAGTGTATGAGAAGTAAATTATATGCATTCCCTCTAATCATATTTCTACACAGTGATACATGTTGTGCTTTTCTCCTTATCATATCCCCTCTGTAATGGGAGCAGGTATTCAAAAACCACCAAAGACCTGAGACATTCCACTTGAGCCATTCATTTGCATGACACCTATGTAACTAAACAAACAAATCATTAGCAGCATATGTATATACATTCCTTCTCACAGAGTGAAGTTTAAGTTATGCAGTTCCCATGTTATTGTGTCCTTATCAGTGTTTTATTACTGAAGAATAAAATGTTTAAATTAGTCATGGGTTGAAGACCAAAGGCTCCTATGTTATGTAAAACTATAAGCTACTTCATTTGTTCACATACTTTTATTATTAGAGTATTTTATAAGACCATGACCCTCATTGATGGATTTAAAAAGTGGGATAATCAATAAATAGCCAGCAATTCTAGCTTACAGACATAATAGCCAAAATGCAAGAAAATTTAGATATACCATTTAACTGTTTTTCTACAGTCTCTAACCCATCCATACATTTTAAATATTGACATGTCACAGAGGACATTTTCCTATTTGTAGATTCCCCAAAATTGGGAGTTGCATGGGTAAGAAGGAAAGGGAGATAGTACTCAATTAGGCCATAAAGAGGAGGGTCAGAAAAATATGCCCATTGTGTTCATATATGTTTTAATATATATTGATATACATATTTTAAATCTCTAAATCCAATTGGTATCAGACGATATTCTAATTCAGTTCATGGGGTTTTAGAAATTCAATCAAATGCAAATTCACAGAAGGAAACAAGAGGAAAGAAAGATGGGCCTGCCTCTGCCTCCTCAGTGCTAGGTTTAAAGGGTATAAAACATGGCAACGGACATTTTCACTGGGTCATGTGCCATTGGAGACCTGCTCAACAGTCCACATTTCCTTTTTGCTGTGCATTCAATAGGAATGGCTATGGAAAACTAAACACACATTTTTAATACAGCGATTTTTTAAGCACTTAAAGTATTCAAGTTAATAGAATTAGTTACTATAAAATGATCATATTTTACCCATGTATTTATCATTCTTTAGCAACACTCAGAATATGAACTTTACCTCCTGCAGAAGATAGAAGGCACACTCAGAATATGAACTTCCCTTGGATACACAATATCTGCAGAGTATTCTGCAAGTATCTGATTACACACACTTCATCACAGGCACTTCAAAATGTAATAGGAAGCTACCTGTCCTTCAAATTATTTTTTATTACTTGAAACTCAAATTCAGTGCCTATTACTACAGTTCTATCTTATCTTGTGTGTGTGTGTGTGTGTGTGTGTGTGTGTGTGTGTGTGTTACACAGACACCACCCTTTGGAAATCAAGGAACATCTTGCAAGGGTCTGTTCTTTTTCATCACATGGGTCTCTGGGATTGAACTAAGGTCTTCAGTCTTCAGTCTGAACTTCAGTCAACAAAATCTCTAAGTGGCTCACCATCCTCCTAAGGAAATGCTAGCTTGAAATGTAGGATTATAAGAATACACACGTATCTTAGTCGGTGCAAGCCCTTGCAAGCCCTTGCCTCAAGCCTGGAACCCACATGGGGGGAAAAGAGCTAACTACTCCAAGTTGCCCTCTGATGTACATGTATTACATCATGTATTATAACCTCTCCTCTCTCTCCCCTCTCTCTCCTCTCTCCCCTCTCTCTCCTCTCTCCCCTCTCTCCCCTCTCTCTCCCCTCTCTCCCTTCTCTCTCCTCTCTGTCCTCTCTCTGGCCCTCACTCTCTCCTCTCTCTCTCTCTGGCCCTAAGCCAAAGTCTCTCTCTCTCTCTCTCTCTCTCTCTCTCTCTCTCTCTCTCTCTCTCTCTCTCTCTCTCTCTCTGGCCCTCACTCTAGCCCTCTCTGGCCCTCACTCTCTTCTCTCTCTCTCTCTCTCTCTCTCTCTCTCTCTCTCTCTCCCTCACTCTAGCCCTCTCTGGCCCTCACTCTCTCCTCTCTTTCTCTCTCTCTCTCTCTCGCCCTCACTCTAGCCCAGGCTGGCCTCGAACTCACAAAGATTGACCTGTCTCTGCCTCCCAAGTGCTGGGATTAAAGGCGTGCGTCACCAACACCCGGCTCTATTTTCTTTAACTTTCACGAGTCCAGCTGCAAACCAGGCAGCCTTCTAAAATGGTTTTTATCTTCCCATTGTTTACTGTTTTATTCACTAAACAAGGGAGGAAAAACAAATAAACTCTGGAAAATGAATGAAGCAACGTGGTGTGTGAACGGCAAAAGGTGCTGAATTTTAGTAAAACTTAGCATTAGGATGTTTAAAATCCAACTGGCAATGGTACCAGTCCCTACAAACTTCAAGGATGGGAGGTATTCAAGTCTTTCCCCCAATTTCGCAGCAAACAGAAAATTTCAGTATCTCAGGCTCTCCTCCACTTAGAATAATTCCGGAGCTCAAAGTAGGGCCGGGAGGGGGCGCGAAAGGGAGGGGGAGGGGTAGAAGGGAGGAGGAACAGAGAATGCCTTCGTCCCAGTACATAAACGCACATTAGTATCCCAATACCTGATTGGCTCAACGCTTACACTCTTGACTGATAGGATGGTCTGATTGGGTAATTCTCAAAACCATGGTCTGCGGACGGATTGGAAAGGAAAATTAAGGTCAGCCCCCGCCTGTAATCCCACTGTCGGATTGGCTTCCTAAAGGGAAGACTGAATTACCACGCCTACGCGCCAGAAATGAGGACTTCCCGCCAAGAAGTCAAGTAATTGTAAAAGTGCCGGAGACAGAACCCGCCCAGGTTTTTAAACAGACCGCAGCAATCAAAATGGAGCTAATAGTCACGGTCTAGCTCTGCTCGGGACACTTAACCACTGAAACACTTATGCATCATACCAAACCAATGAAAGGGGACTCCCATAGCTGTGCTCCCGACCACATAGCCGAGGTCCAACATTGCTAGAGTGCAGCTCTTTTGAATGAGACCTGTGGGTGGCTCTGAAAAGAGCCGTTTAAGATTTTTCAAAGGAGGACGCGCCAGCTTACTTCTTGCGGGGAGCGGCCTTCTTTGCCTTGGCGGCCTTAGGCTTGGTCGCCTTGGGCTTAGCAGCCTTAGGCTTCGGGGATTTGGCCTTCGCTGGACTCTTGGCTGTCTTCTTGGGCTTCGCTGCCTTCACCTTTTTCGGACTCTTGGCAACTTTCTTGGCGCCTGCGGCAGCCGCGGGCTTCTTCGCTTTCTTCGGGGTCTTCTTGGCGGCTTTCTTGGGTGTGGCAGCACCAGTCGCCTTCTTGGGCTTCTTTGCGCCCGCGGGCTTCTTAGCCTTGGCCGCGCCTGCCTTCTTGGCTTTGGGCTTGGCCTCGCCGGAAGCCGCCTTCTTGTTGAGCTTGAAGGAACCGGAGGCGCCGGTGCCCTTGGTCTGCACCAGGGTGCCCTTGCTCACCAGGCCATCGTAGCCGGCAGCGGCCAGAGCCTTCTTGAGCGCGGCCAGGGACACGCCACTGCGCTCCTTAGAGGCGGCCACAGCCTTGGTGATGAGCTCGGACACCGGGGGCCCGGACGCCTTGCGCTTCCCTGCTGCAGCGCCAGTCTTCTTCGCCTTCTTCTTCACAGGTGTTTTCTCCACAGGTGCAGGAGCAGCAGGAGCTGCGGGAGCGGTCTCAGACATGGTTTATGCTTTGCTAGAAAAGCCAAAAGTAAGCACAAACTGTCAGCGAGAGTTGCTCCACTGCTGAAGGCTCTGGGTTTATATAGAGAGAAGCTGCATGGTGATTGGTTCCCTGCGCCGTGCGCAGCGCTGCCAAAGAAGGGATCTTCAGCTCTGCCTGGTGGCTGTGTTTGTTGCCCCTTAAAAAAGATTAAAAATATAAGAAATATGGGCATGAAATAATTAGGGACTTCGGGGAAACTGACCCGAGAGCCTGCAAGCTTCATTCTTGCATTAATTTGTACAGTTATATTCAAAATCGGCAGCCTGAAACTTCCCCGAATGACCTAACTCTCTTTCAAACTTCATGTCAATTGAGACAACTTTAAGGTTTTCCTTAAAAATACTATTTCTGTCGCCGTCATTCGCAAACTTTTATTTCCGGACATGATTCTGCACATTCTTATTGTTACAAAACTATATACATTAACTTGATTTTACTCAAATATCTAAGGAAATTCGGGTTTTTCGCGGGAGCAACAGCACAGATGCTCCCGGGGCTGTCTGCACCAAGCTCTAGGAATTGGCACTACAAGGGAAAGTTGTGCGTGACTGGGAAATGATTATTGTATAAAACACCTATCGTTTTTTAAGGTATTTGACATACCAATGTGTAATTCAGTTCGATTTCCTTGTTTTAGATATTTAACCATTTTCTGGATGGAGTAGAGATGAGTCTGTGCCATAGATCAACAGCTATAAACACATTTCTTCAGATTTAGTGGGGAGTGGAGACCAACTCACAGATTTATGGAAAAAAAGAGACCTAGGTCAAGAAGGAACATAAGTTTAGCAACTGGAAGACGAGGAACAGTTGGATATAATCTGGATTGACGACTCATTCATTGTTTAGGAAGCATGTGACTTCGGGCACTTATAAGGCTTTTCACCCTGCCAACATTTATCACATCATTTTCTGCATACTTCCTGTGTTTTAAAATAACGTAAATTTCAATACTAAAAAATAAGCAGAATTTGGAAGAAAAATCTGTTTCTGAATTTTTATACTGGCTACTGACCTTATTACATATAAAATATAATCTTTCTCAAGCAAAATTATTAACTGGTTTTATCCACCTGAGAACGTGAACAAACATTTTAGAATGAGCTTGAATTACTTGAAAATTCTGTCTCAGTTAGTTTGCAATACAATAAAGCTTATATACTTGGGTTCTTATTGGATGTTGAAGCAGAAAAGTAATATTTTCCATTAAATAGACATTACACTGAAGACTCAAGTCTTTTGAACAAATAAGAAAAGTGTTTTGCTGTTATATTTTTAAAAATCCTTATATCCACCTAATCTCATTATGACATAAACGTAATGATTTAAATATATGCTTATTTTAACACAAGACTAGCCAGTCAGTGCTTAAGATGTCTGATCTTCACACTTACCTTGCTATACACACATAACTTGGCATGCTGTAAAATGATCATTTATTCAGTAGAAACAATAATCAAGTCCCTGGGATATAAGAACATGTTATGATATAAACTATTAAAATATATACAAGATTCCCCAGTCAATCAGACTGGACGTGAATCACTCAATGGTTCCCTTACATGGCATTTTCTGAGTATATGGAAGGAGCTAGTTGTATCATCTGTGGAGTCACTGTGCATAGCAGTCATGACAGGAAATATATCAGCCTTTTCCTGTTTTATATATAGCTTTGCATTGCCTACACCTAAATATATGATTAAAATCCTAATTTTAAATTTTTTATACCTCCATTCACTTCTATAATCACAATAGCCATTGCTTACTCCTTATTGACACTGTCTACTGCTATTTATTCAGTTACCAGAAGTTAACATTTAATTCTTCCACAACTCTTACTGGACACCATAACTATTTGATCTCCCCAAATATGATAAAGTACTAGCACCACAAAATTCCATTTCCTAATTTTTTGGTACTTTCTGGTGTTCCTGGAAGCAAGACATTAGGTAAGACTTGATCTCACCAAGAAAATGGTTTTCCACATATTTACAGAAAGAGGATACACTGGGTACAGTTAACTTTGTTACTGTTGTGACCTGGCTACTTATCCTTACAATACCTAGCAAGAACAAGGCTCTTAAATGCTGAATAAGCCATGGGACTACAAACTTGAACCCACAAGAACCTTAACTGATTTTCAGTCATTACTTTGGAGGGTAACATCAAAAACTTGTTTTTGGTCTTGAATCCAAAATGTAACCATGCCCTGAAACAGAAGATTATCCCCTGTAGTAATGCTTGAACTGTTTTTATAGAGATTTAAAACATAATAAAAATCCTGTGAGAGCCATGAAAGTTGTGTCTTCATCTTCACTCAATTTTGTGCTAGATAAACACACACAACTGTTTACCATTACCATAGTAATAGCTGAGAGATACCAGTCTCATTTATCCCATAGGACAAGTTCATGGGCATTCTATAATTTAAAGACTTTCAAAAGCTACAGAAAATGGTGGTTGTATAAAATAACTATCAGTTGTGCAATGGTACTCCATGCCTCTAATCCCATCACTTTGGAGGCAGTCAAGGGTGAATCTCTAAATTTGAGGCCAGACTGCTCTACAGAGTCACGTTCCATGACAGTTAGGGTTATAGAGAGAAACCCTGTTTCAGAAAAAATAATAATAGTTAAGATAATTATCAAGAAGAGAAAATAAAATAAGGGGAAAGAGACAGTTTTACTGGAGTCAAGTATGCTCAAAAGGTCTATGAAAAATTAGAAGTATTAGTTTCGCATTCCTCTCCATTGGCATTACATGAAGATAGTGGCAACTTGAAATTCACATCCAAGTACAACCAGTCTGCATTAATTTCATTTTCAAAAATGAGCACTTTTAAATATTTAAATGAATGCTTCCAAATGTCCAGTTTCCTTGCCCCAACCCCACATCTGCAATATGTTTTATATGTGGAAGCCGAATAGCTTCTAGTATTCTAAACCCTCCGTGTCTTTACAAAGGCCAGTTCTACAGTATGCAATACATTCCCATCCACAGTCTGCATAACTGAAACTGTGTGTTTAAAACAGTTTCAGGACAATGCAACTGGGATTTTGCTGCTTCACTGGGATACTAGGCACCAGCCAGGAATATATGAGCTGTAGGCACATGAGACCCCTCATCGTGAATTTAACTTCCCCTTAAGTGGTCTTTCAGCTCTTTAGGTGGGGGAGAGGATGTCACTGTGTTGTTTAACCAGGTGTTCTCACACCAGCTTTGGCATTCTGGCCTTTAGAGTGAATGGGGTGTAAAACTGGTGTCTTTCTGAAAAGGAACATGGGAGATCTCTGTGGATTATTTGGGATAAGCTAAATACCAAGCATATTCTGAGTACTTGGTACTTTCTTTTCTTGTTCTTCCATCACCATAGACATTTCTCAAACAAGCACTAGCCAAAGCACATCTTCAAGAGGACCTCTCCACACAAGGATGGGGCTCACATCAGCACTGCACAGGCTAAAAAAGGAAAATTGCCTCAGGTTTGATTTGAGTCTGGACTACAGAGTTTATTCCACTGCCTCAAAAAAAAAAAAAAAAAGAAAGAAAGAAAAGAAAGAAAGAAAGAAAAGAAAAGAAAAGAAAAGAAAAGAAAGAAATTACCTCTGTAGTGCACAAAAGGGCACTGAACCAAATTGTGTGCAGTATAAGAAAACATAGAAATTCGTGTACTAAGACATATCAAACTGATGTATGTACAGCCTTACTTCAGTAACATATTATTGAGCTGTTACTTTACAGAATTTAAGTGTTCCTTTTTTTAATTTGCAAAGCTTCTTGACAGGCCATATTTAATGTTTCCAAAAATTGAGACTTCACTTTTTTCTAAGTCTTCCACTTAAAAGGTACTGTTAGTGTACTGTATCTGGTTTTATAGACAAGTGTATGGCTACCACCTTTCTGCAAATGATGGTTGACTAGAAGATTTATCAAATATCAGCTGTCTGAACGTACAAGCACACTCCTAAAGGACACAAACTACTAAGAACTCGAAGAGGAAAGCAGAAGACTCACAACCCCCCACACTACAGCGCCTGTGCCTTCCTCATGTAATGGGAGTCAGCCAGTGAGGTAGAGGGGCGGATACAGAATCACCTTCCCGCCCGCGCCTTTTCAGTTTTCTAAAAGGTCCGCAGTCCTCGTATATATAGCTGTAGAGGGCGCTTGATCAGCTTGAGTTCATCTTTAGCCTCTTTTCACTATGTCTGGCCGTGGTAAGGGCGGAAAAGGCCTGGGCAAAGGTGGCGCCAAGCGCCACCGCAAAGTCCTCCGCGACAACATCCAGGGTATCACTAAGCCCGCCATCCGCCGCTTGGCCCGCCGTGGCGGAGTCAAGCGCATCTCCGGTCTCATCTACGAGGAGACCCGTGGGGTGCTGAAGGTGTTCCTGGAGAACGTGATCCGCGATGCGGTCACCTACACGGAGCACGCCAAGCGCAAGACCGTCACCGCCATGGACGTGGTCTACGCGCTCAAGCGCCAGGGCCGCACGCTCTATGGCTTCGGCGGTTAAACAGTACATGTTCGCAGATAACTATAAAGGCCCTTTTCAGGGCCACCCACCATATCAAAAAGAGAGTTTGTTGCGTTTTCTCATCCGAAATTCTCCCTGGCTTTAAGGTTAAAATGACTAACATCCAGAGCTATGGGGCGGGACTATTATTCCTCAGGAATTTTATAAGTTCAGCATACTTCTCTTCCCCACTGCTTACGTTACCCTCCCTAAGATCTTAGCTGGAACCTTCACAACCTGTAGGCGAGGAAGTATTTCTAATGCCAAGACAGTCAAAAAGGAACTAAATTTAAAAGACGGTGAAGTTTTTTTTTTTTAATTGCTATCCATAATAGTGTAAGATTTAAGCTGTTGCTTTGCTAATCTGTCCTCCCCTTGGATGCCTTGATTACAGCCTTCTGTTTGATCATTTCTCCAAAGGCTGACTGCCAGCCCTACCTCTACCTGACAAGGTAGTTCCAGAGTGACAGTTCTTATTGCCAGTTGGCAGATTACTTGTTCCATCATTTCTAGATGCCCTTATTTCCTAATATCTGACTTGTCACCCTATTGTGACAAAAGTCTTCCCTCCACGTTAAGTCTGGTTCAACTACTAAATTACTTGTTTGCCTCCAAACAAAAGGCTCCTACTACATATAAGTTCTATATAAACCACTCCAGTGGTCTAATTGATGGGTCCTGGGAAAAGCACACTTGAGACCCATTTGCCACTCCTAATTTAACAATGTCAAGATTCCAGGCTTACTGGCACACATTTTTCCTGTTTGCTTTCTGGATTCTCGTCCAATGATTTTAGACGTGAGTCTTCTGTTCATTATCCAGTCTCTGGTCGTCTGATCATCCCTTCACAGTGTGAAATAGGTAAACATCCAAGCCCCAAAGAAAATGCTACCAGCTTTTCGACCTTCTTTTAATACAGTATAGTGACCAGAGATGACTTATGGAGCACCTATAGTCGTACAATCAGTCTTTTTCATTTCAGTGTTTCTTGAGCAATTAAAATTTTTCATTTCATTGTAGAAAAATAAAATTGTCTTAACTGATTATCCTGTATCTAAAGAATAAAATCCCAACTCCTGTGTTTCATCTGGCATCTGTCTTGCCTCCATAGCTTCATTCCCTAACCATGAATTCTACTCCTGACTTGACTAAAAAAATTGTTTTGTTTTTTAAATGAAATTACCATATGTACATGTGTGTTGTCTTTTTGTTTTGTTTTTCTGCTTTCATAAGAACATATAGTCTTTTTGAGGCTGCTCTTTTCTTTCTGGACCAAGTAATATCAGTGCCAATTACAGAACGTAACAAACAGTAGGTACTCAGGCCAAATAAAATTAAAGGATGTAAAGACAAAACTGGCTTCCTTCTAAAATTTCTTTGGCCTGCAATATAACAATGAGATATTGACCAGGAACACCCATGTAGAACTACTCAGGCTCAAACTCTTAGCTTTGAAGAAAAATATTTTTTAAGTCCTATTAGCCTGAAGGGATTTAAACATGATCTGTGAACAACTCACCATCTAGTAAGACTTGCTAGGATGCTTTCTCTCTAAAACCTTCAACTTCAGTTCTAAGCAACAAGGTGATCCCACACAAAGCACTTGCTTCATGTAGCTTTTGTCTTTGAGTCCACATTCTAGATATAACATCGAATTTTATGTTTAATACACAAATATTCATGTTTTTAAATTCTGCACAGTGTGGTGAAACTAAGTCTATACCCCATGAAACAGAAGAATTGTATAGTGACTGAAAAAAAAAAAAAAAAAAAAAAAAAAAAAAAAAAAAAAAACCTGAGCTTTCAGGTTTTTTAGGCATATGTACTTTATTGAGGGTCTGACAAGGCAAACAGAAAAGGCAGGTAACTAGTAAAAAGTGAACTCTGGGCCCTGTCATCTGTTCTCTGTGTCAGTCTCTGAAGAGCCTAGCATACCTAAGTCTTTGTGGTTGGTAAGCAGTAACTTTGACACTTCTGGATCATTCCATACCTTATTACAGTATACAGGCATAAAATTAATTATGAATTTCTCAGTTTATAAGAAACCTCTTTGTTCAATACTGCCAGGTCTGTATGCCCACTTTCTCACATGTTCCCCATGTCCACGGTATTAAACTGTTTACTGTCCTTGGCTGTATGTTAATCTGGTATTCCTACCAACCTTTGCTAGTATTGCCTGGCATGCCCTGTTTGTAGATGCTCCCACTCCAGCTGACTTCAGAATCAATACCCAGGACAAGGAAAATAACATCCATGCCATGGCCAGCGCCTTGAAGCAGTCAACCATGCAGCTTCTAGACTCTCATCCCAGGTAGGCCTTTTATACTTACCTGCCAAGAGGACCTCCTCCTTGTGATAGCAGTAGAAGGGTCTCTAACATAATTTTATTATCCATTTAATTTCCCACAATTTTTAATAAAAATACAGAATGAAATTAGACATAATTTTATCATCTACCACCAGCAACAACTGTAATTGTGTGTGTGTGTGTGTGTGTGTGAGAGAGAGAGAGAGAGAGAGAGAGAGAGAGAGAGAAACTTAATGGTCTGAAGCCTTAGAAAGTAAACTTCATACAACATCAAACTTTATCCCTGAATATTTCAACATGTAACTCCCAAGAATATGGGAACTTTCCATATAATTTCCAAAACAAAATAAGGTTTAAAAGAAAAAGGAATATACAATCCAATTCAGTTTTCTGTTAAAATCTGATACCCTTAGGAGCCATAATCCAATTAAATGTTATTGTCTGGCTACTTTATTATTAAAGTCTGCTTTAAATTTCAACTATACCTGAAACCCCATTCTCTTAAAGACAAGGTATTAGGAAGTTAGAGGTGCACGTGAGGTGGCCGTCTTGTTGAGACTCTTCTTCAGCTGATACTACCTCACCCACCCAAGATCTAGAATTATAGATATACAGGAGCACAATATACTTGAATTGAGAAAAATGCTACGACCCTACTGCACTCCAGACCTAACTCCACTTTTACTGTCAATTTTTAGGAGGCAAACAGGACACAAAATATCATAAATTTAAGAACGTAAAATCTAGTTAGTTCAAACATGGTACTTTGTAGCAGCCCTTTACATAGAAACTTGTAGGTGGCTCTGAAAAGAGCCTTTGTGTTTGTCCAATTTGAAAATCAAAATTACGCCCTCTCGCCGCGGATACGGCGGGCCAGCTGGATGTCTTTGGGCATGATGGTGACTCGCTTGGCGTGGATGGCGCACAGGTTGGTGTCCTCAAACAGACCCACCAGGTAGGCCTCGCTGGCCTCCTGCAGCGCCATGACGGCCGAGCTCTGGAAGCGCAGGTCGGTCTTGAAGTCCTGAGCGATCTCGCGCACCAGGCGCTGGAACGGCAGCTTGCGGATCAGCAGCTCGGTGGACTTCTGGTAGCGCCGGATCTCGCGCAGAGCCACGGTGCCGGGCCGGTAGCGGTGAGGCTTCTTCACGCCGCCGGTGGCCGGGGCGCTCTTGCGGGCAGCCTTGGTGGCCAACTGCTTGCGCGGGGCCTTGCCGCCGGTGGACTTGCGAGCGGTCTGCTTAGTTCGAGCCATTATTGGAGTAAAAGGAGAAACCTAAGAAAAAAAGTGTGTGGGTTCCTATTTATAACAACAAGGTCTCCCTGATTGGTGGGAATCTTCAAACGCCGCGCCATGAATGATGTATGCGGAAGTGATTGGTAATTGGATAACAGACATCAATTTTAAAATGTGTAGCCAATGAAAATGTCTTATATTATTTGACGTATGATTCATTGTTCCCTGTTACTCCATTAGATACATTGTTGCAATTAAGTACTTTAGTTGTTAATTTTGCTTACCAACTAATTAGAGACTATTGAGATTTTGACAACGCCTGAGCAGTTTAAAGGACTACTGGTTGAACTTGGTTACCCAAACTGAGCTCTGTACTATTCTTTATATTGTAGTTGCAGGAAGGAAGCAAAGGCAGCATGTTCCTCTCAGAGTCAAATGTGGTCTAAAAGACACGGACAAACACACTGGATTTTGTCCATTTTTTTAATGAATTCATGAGTTTCATGATAGCCTTAGCCTCAAAACCTAATTAAGAATGCGTCTTTTAAAAAAAAAAGCACTAGAATGATTTTCAAAAACTATGTCCCGGGATCATTAAAATTGCTCTGGTGCTGCAAAGCAGCAGTTCCTTTGATTCTTGAGAAGACAAAAATCTGACTGCTTAAAACGGACTGTACAATAAATAGGGATTCTAGAATCATTAGCTGAATAATTTCTGTTATCTTCCCTCTGGATACTTCATAGACTTCAAAACGCGAACCAAACTATATAAAGCTATAATTTATATCAGGCATTTGTGCCTAGGGGACAGAATGCAGGGATACTACTGGAAAAAATAATTTTAACGTTTAAAAATAAAAAGACTGCCTTTGTTGCGGCGATGTCAACGAGGATTTTTCTAAACCCTTTATTTCGTCTAATTTGAATATAGAGCTTCTGATGGTTCCCCTTAGCCAATCAGAAACAAAGACGAGTCCTACTTCATTTGCATAGGCTGCCTGTAAACAATACTCTGCTTGTCTTTCCCTAGATAAGATGCATGCTTTGATTGGACGGCTAGTGCATGACGTTTGCAGACTCCCTTACAAGAACAACCACAGCTTTATTTAAATAGCAGGGAGAGCAGGCGTCTCTCTCAACCTCGGTTTCATTTCCAACTCTGATCTTTGTCTTTGTTTACCATGCCTGAGCCCGCCAAGTCCGCTCCCGCCCCGAAGAAGGGCTCCAAGAAGGCCGTGACCAAGGCCCAGAAGAAGGACGGCAAGAAGCGCAAGCGCAGCCGCAAGGAGAGCTACTTACGTGTACAAGGTGCAGGTTCACCCCGACACCGGCATCTCCTCCAAGGCCATGGGCATCATGAACTCGTTCGTCAACGACATCTTCGAGCGCATCGCGGGCGAGGCTTCTCGCCTGGCGCATTACAACAAGCGCTCGACCATCACGTCCCGGGAGATCCAGACGGCCGTGCGTCTGCTGCTGCCCGGGGAGCTGGCCAAGCACGCGGTGTCCGAGGGCACCAAGGCCGTCACCAAGTACACCAGCTCCAAGTGAGCGCCCTGGTCTCACAAGCAACCCAAAGGCTCTTTTCAGAGCCACTATGTTGTCATTTTAAGGGCTGTATCTATATCTCATTTTAAACAGCAAAATGGCCCAGGATTATGTAAGTACATGCTTTTATATATGCCTACAAGTATAGGAGTGCTTTGTAATTGTCTTGGGTAGGCAGCAGTCAGTCACCAATGCTTTGTGGGGTCAATTTAAAGGTATATTTTGAGCTTTCAAAGGAAGTACTAAAAACTTTTGAACTGTTTCAAGATCTCGGTCTAGTACTGCCAAATAGCACTACAGGAAAGTAAATCATCTACCATTAACTTGTTTCTGTATATTGGAGGTTTGTATAACGTATTGTGACTAGAAGTGGAAATAAATGTGCTGTAGTTAATTCTTGGCATCCACATCATCCAGGAAATCACGACCACTCAGGGCTTGATGAGGTAACTGAAGGCCAGGGAAGAGTACTAAAATCCTGGATCTGGATCTGCACTTTTTACCAATAACACACCTTTAATATCATCATTAGGAAACCGAACCATGCCAGCCTGGTCACACCTTTAATCCACAGCTACACAGAGAGACCCTACATTCATACATAAAAAGAGATGATTGATAGATAAATGCTTATTAGGGAAAGAATAGTAACAAGGAAACAACTATATTGTTTTGTGAAAAGGAAGCCAATCACTGTTTTTTACACAAAAAAAAAAGTTTATGAAGGAAGCACCTAAACCTGAAAGTGAAAGGTTCCAAAAAGTGTGCCCCTAGGGTACTTGAGGGATTAAAATAGGAGTGCTCTGTGCCGAGGGCAAAGGTAATTACAAATGAAAGACAAACTACCTTACTCTTCATGGAATACTGTCTAGAAAATAGTGGTTTTGGCATCATCTGGGTGTTTTTCAGCTTCCAAACATCAAATAAACCTTCCATCACAGTCATTGGCGTAGTCCCTTAAAGCCAACCTTCAAAACCTGTAACAAACCGCTGTGATCATAATAACCTGTAGGACAAATCCAGTGACCAGGTGAATGGCTTCCTAAATTAGTGATTAAGCCAACTGAACACAAGTAACTACGAAAAAAAATAATGAAGTTTCAGGATCTCCTAAATAAGCTAAAAGGGCCAGGCACAGTGAAATAAAAATGCTTTAATCCCAGCATTTTTGCAGGAGTGGGAAGGCAGGCAGGTCTCCTGATTGCAGACCATTCTGGGATACCAAGATAGTTGCAGGCTAGCCTAGGATGCCTAAGTGGATCCCTTGGGGGAAAAAATAGGCGGGGGGGGGGGGGGGGGGGGTTGTTAAAGAATTTCTTGCTGGGTAAGAAACTAGGGAAGATGTGAAACGTTTGGTAAATTCAGTTAACATTTGAAGTCTGGGAAAACAAAATTGACCTCTACAGTCTTATTGGCCCCAGTCTGAAGTGAACAGATAGATGGCAAGAAACCCAGAATACATACTAAGATGTTTTGTTTTGTTTTTTCTTTTGGTTTTTCGAAAGAGGGTTTCTCTGTGGCTTTGGAGGCTGTCCTGGAACTAGCTCTTGTAGACCAGGCTGATCTCGAACTCAGAAATCCTCCTGCCTCTGCCTCCCGAGTGCTGGGATTAAAGGCGTGTGCCACCACCGCCAGGCAAACATTAATTTTTTGTTTGTTTGGTTTTTGTTGTTTTGTTTGAGACAGGGTTTCTCTCGGTAGCTTTGGAGCCTGTCCTGGCACTCGCTCTGTAGACCAGGCTGGCCTCGAACTCACAGGGATCCGCCTAGCCTCAGCCTCCCGATTAAAGGCTGGAATTAAAGGCGTGCACCACCAACGCACCGCCAATATAAAGTCTTATAACCAACAGGTTATACTGTAGCTGACACTACCATACACCCCAGACTTCCAAAGCAAAGAAACTTCCATGCTTGCAAGAATTCCATGTGGCCACGAGGGGTAAAGCTTTGGCACCCTCAGCAAAGGTATAATGGTGATTTAAAGCCTAACAAAAATGGGAAGACGTTACAGCTTTTTTCCTGGAAGATGGGTGGCTCTAAGAAGAGCCTTTAAAAGTGGTTGAGCAGATGGTATCCTTTATGCCCTCTCCCCGCGGATGCGGCGGGCCAGCTGGATGTCCTTGGGCATGATGGTGACTCGCTTGGCGTGGATGGCACACAGGTTGGTGTCCTCAAACAGACCAACCAGGTAGGCCTCACAGGCCTCCTGCAGCGCCATGACGGCCGAGCTCTGGAAGCGCAGGTCGGTCTTGAAGTCCTGAGCGATCTCGCGCACCAGGCGCTGGAACGGCAGCTTGCGGATCAGCAGCTCGGTGGACTTCTGGTAGCGCCGGATCTCGCGCAGAGCCACGGTGCCGGGCCGGTAGCGGTGAGGCTTCTTCACGCCGCCGGTGGCCGGGGCGCTCTTGCGGGCAGCCTTGGTGGCCAACTGCTTGCGAGGGGCTTTGCCGCCGGTGGACTTGCGGGCAGTTTGCTTTGTACGAGCCATAACTGCAAAGGACAGAAAGAATCCTACCAAGCCGCACTACAGCTGCCTTTATGTAGGTTTACATTCGCGCATGCGCAAACACACGCACCAGCTTGTGTTCCCCTCCTCCCCACAGAGATACAGCCTGATAGGCTTCTGCACTTTTCAAAAGTCCCGCGCACTACTACTATTGGCTAAGGAGTTCAAGCGTTGATTGGTTAACTCTTACATACTGATTGGGATGAATTACAATGTAAAACATTTCCCTTAGCCTGGCACGCCGGAGCCTTTTTGAATTTGACTCCTTGTTTGTCTTATATGGAATCGCTTGCAAAACTTGAGTGCCGAAGATTCGGACTATAAAATGTCATGACACTCTAGATCCCAAAAATCATTCTGCAAAACATGTTCTTCACCCTCCTTGGTTTTTTTTTTCTCCCCTTCTCGGGCCTAGACTGCGGTGTTCTAGCGCCACACATAAGGGTTCCTGGAGTGTTTGGAATATCACCAGTAAACAGGCTAGCATGAAAATAACAGAAACAACACATGTCAACTAGACTGAATTCTGCCTTGACACTTTGGGTAAAGCTTTATCCTACCTAACAAATTTCATAAAATCCTATGGGCTGGTATTAACTTTTTCGATGCTGGACTTTTTTTCAAACTCCTTCTGAAAAAAAAATTCTGGAAGATACTAGGTAAAGGACTAAATTAGCATAATTTTGTACAAAGTATACCAACACTTTTTTAAGATATCGGAGGCTTCTGTGACACAAGACACTTAAAAACCAAAAGCAAGCCCTCCAACAAGTTGTCAGGCCTTTCTCCTTTGTCCTTTTATATTTTTGGTTTTGTGCTATTCTGTCAGGACTTCATGAACATCCCTTATTAGTACTAACGACATATTTCAAGCTATCTTAAGGCAAACCCTTCCTTAAAAGCCTTTAACAGAAGTGCATCTCAGGGTACTTGATAATATATGCACACCACAGACCAGAATGCTATATTTGCGGGTAAATTGATCAACTCGAGAAGAAAAACAAGATTCCTTCATTGGGGAAGTTAGGACAATTTAGTAATTTGCTCATTGTTTGAGAAGAATTTGCGGTTTGAAACTCCCAGTTACCAGAAAATTAGCCCAACAAGCCATAAATTGTACTATGCCTTGCTTATGGTATTTCAGCACTTTTTACTGAAAAAAGTGGGTGGCTCTGAAAAGAGCCTTTGTTTTTTACAGTGAAGACCAGTGTGAAAGGCAGTGGTCTTACTTTCCCTTGGCCTTGTGGTGGCTCTCGGTCTTCTTGGGCAGCAGCACGGCCTGGATATTGGGCAGGACGCCGCCCTGAGCGATGGTCACGCGGCCCAGCAGCTTGTTGAGCTCCTCGTCGTTGCGGATGGCCAGCTGCAGGTGGCGCGGGATGATGCGGGTTTTCTTGTTGTCGCGGGCCGCGTTGCCAGCCAGCTCCAGGATCTCGGCCGTCAGGTACTCCAGCACGGCCGCCAGGTACACGGGGGCGCCGGCGCCCACCCGCTCCGAGTAGTTGCCCTTGCGGAGCAGGCGGTGCACACGACCCACGGGGAACTGCAGGCCGGCCCGTGAGGAGCGGGTCTTGGCCTTGGCGCGAGCCTTGCCACCCTGCTTGCCGCGTCCAGACATGGTCAGAATCAGTAGACAGGAACTGTTCAGCCTAAAGCGAAAGAGCCACAGCAGCAAACTTATAAGCATCTCCCGGCGCGAAAACAGAGGGACATCATTGGCTGCACATACTGCTTCACCTGAACCAATGGTAACGTGCTTCTGAAATATTCTTGATTTGATTGGACAGTAAGTGCATGACGTTTGCAGACTCCCTTACAAGAACAACCACAGCTTTGTTTAAATAGCAGGGAGAGCAGGCGTCTCTCTCAACCTCGGTTTCATTTCCAACTCTGATCTTTGTCTTTGTTTACCATGCCTGAGCCCGCCAAGTCCGCTCCCGCCCCGAAGAAGGGCTCCAAGAAGGCCGTGACCAAGGCCCAGAAGAAGGACGGCAAGAAGCGCAAGCGCAGCCGCAAGGAGAGCTACTCGGTGTACGTGTACAAGGTGCTGAAGCAGGTTCACCCCGACACCGGCATCTCCTCCAAGGCCATGGGCATCATGAACTCGTTCGTCAACGACATCTTCGAGCGCATCGCGGGCGAGGCTTCTCGCCTGGCTCATTACAACAAGCGCTCGACCATCACGTCCCGGGAGATCCAGACGGCCGTGCGCCTGCTGCTGCCCGGGGAGCTGGCCAAGCACGCGGTGTCCGAGGGCACCAAGGCCGTCACCAAGTACACCAGCTCCAAGTGAGCGCACGATCTCAGGCTTACTTCACCCAAAGGCTCTTTTCAGAGCCACTCATCTATTCTTTAAAGAGAGCTGTAGTTCTAGGTGTGTTTACCTGACTTCTGCATGGCTGCTTTTTCTTAGTGGGTGTGAAACAATGCAATATTTGGCCGGAGCATGATTTGAATTTGGTCACTAGCTTAATCAAGTTTAAATTCATACTTGCAGTTTCCATACCTAGCACCTAATGAAAAGTAACTACAAAGTAACAAGACTTGGAAGTGGTCAGGTGGCTATTTTCATAAATGGTATACATAACCGTTTGGTTGTATTTACACTGAGCTTCCTAAAGTGACAATCAGGTGGTTATTTTCATAATCACCAAGAGTCTTCATTGTACCCACCATCGGCTTTTGTTCCCCTATTGCTAAGATTAAATAGAGGTGTGGGCCCATCAAAACCTGGCCCTTTTATTTTGGTTTATGTTTTTTGTTTGAGACTATCTCACTATAACTCAGACTCCTGGAATTCACTGTAGATCAGGCTGGCCTCCAGAATTCCTCCTACTTCTACCTCCCCATTGCTGGGATTGAATGCCTGCGCCAACACGTCTAGCCCCCAAATTTAAAAACTTCTAAATATTATAGGAGGACTCAGGCATTCCATCTGAAGTCAGTAATTTCTTATTACCTTCGTGATTTATCTGCAAGCACCTACTAAACAAATTAATGTGAATATTAAGTGTACCTATAATGTAAAGAGACTTGTAGCAAAAAATTGCCATTTTTCAATACTGTTTGCTAACTTTAAGGATGTTTTTTAAATAATTTATTCAGAAATATTCAAACATTTAATACAGCCCTCCAAAGAGTTGTGAATGCTTAGAATTGTGTATTGAGGCAATTAATCCCTCTTGGAGAATTGCCTAATCCTAAATGGAAGATACATAATAATTGCTAGATAACATTCCTGAAATTAATTAAAAGCAGTTGGGACTGGACAGTGAGTGCACCAAGGGAATGACCTACTGTGCTTCAAGCCTCGGATCTCACAGAGGAAGCCTGTGACTTTAATGAGGCTATGGCCTAGCAGCTTTGCTAAACTTCTGTGTCAAAGTTCTTCAACTGGTCCTGTAAAGGATACTTTTCTAACAGTGCAACTCTCTCTAGTGTTATTGGAACATCCGAGATCCTTTACCTCTAAATATTCTCACCCCTCAACCTCCATCTCAAGCAATGTAAGGCCTTTACAGGACTCTTCACAAACTCACTAGAGCTAACAAGAATTAATTAGGGAAAGACTAGATAAAGAAACTTGCTAGGTATACACAATGTCTCACCCTCGTATGGGCCTGGACAGGCTAAGGAAGATACTAAGCAATAGACAGAGAACTGTTGGTTTTAGCTTCAATACGAGTTATTTTTTATTATATGTATGTGTCTCTGAACAGAAGACTCGCCCTAGAACCAGAGATACATATGGTTGTTGTGAGCCAACCAACATAGGTGGAGGCCACCGATCCTGTGTAAGAGCCCCCATCAAGCCTGGTTTCACAATTTAGCCCAGAACGAACCAACCACGGAGCAGGCTGTGTGCACAGCCACCGCCCGGGGCCTTTGTCCCCGGCTAAGCCTCCGCCAAGCTCCAGAGCTTTGTCTATATAACTCGCGCCATTTAAAGGGAGGCATATCAGCTAATACGCACTAATGTATTCCTGTGCCTAATGTATGCACGCTTCCGGAGAACTCAGGGTAACCAACCTTACAGACAGGAAGTTAATATACTCAACAAACCTCACTATAAGACCTATTCTTTAATACCGGTAAAGACGCGACAAGGAGAGGTTAAAAAGAGCAAACAAATGTCAGCCCTTTTACTGCAAACGTGGGCGGCCCTGAAAAGGGCCTTTGAGCCGTAGAGCGTGCGGCCCTGGCGCTTGAGCGCGTAGACCACGTCCATGGCGGTGACGGTCTTGCGCTTGGCGTGCTCCGTGTAGGTGACCGCGTCGCGGATCACGTTCTCCAGGAACACCTTCAGCACCCCGCGGGTCTCCTCGTAGATGAGGCCGGAGATGCGCTTGACTCCGCCACGGCGGGCCAGGCGGCGGATGGCGGGCTTGGTGATGCCCTGGATGTTGTCGCGGAGGACTTTGCGGTGGCGCTTGGCGCCGCCCTTGCCCAGGCCTTTGCCACCTTTGCCGCGACCAGACATAACTAAGCTGTTTGAAGACTATGCCTCAGTAGCGATAGTAGCGCAAGCACTTCCCTTATATGAAGGGTTTCCGGACCTAATTGAAGACTGAAAGCTGGAACGCATCCGCCCCGCCCCGTTTCTGCTAGGGCTCTGGCTGGTGACGTCACCAACGCTTGTGGTTCCTACTCCCTGAGCTGGTTCCTTTGTCCCAAAATAGGACTTCCCGGCCATCTTAAGTAGTTCAGATTAAAGAATCTCTTTAATGATTCACATTTGCCACTTGCTACGTATTAGGGCGACAGCAGAGCTTTGATCATTCAGACGATCAGAACTGCTGATACGGGTTGCGTGTGAGTCCACTTCCCACAGTTTTATCCCCTGTTGTAAAGGATCAAACACTAGAGATAACACAGCACCATTTCCTCCACGATCTCGATCTCAAGACTCAACCTGACCCCAAATTCTTGCTTCCCGCAGGTAAATGCGTGGCTGGTCACTAAGAATGTTATCAACTGCCGTTCTGAGGTCCCTGTCTGCATTGTCTTGTTTTCGCCATTGTGATTCTCGTTTAAATATTTACCTGTCTTTCTCATCCGCATGGACTTATTATTATGTTAATGTTTGCTACTCTTGTCCAAATTTTGCTTTCTGTTTGATTAGGTAACGATACTATTCCCAACAAGTAGCTTTCTTTTGGTAGACAAAGTTATACTTCGTTAAAATTGGCATAGGATACCAACTGCATCAGAGTTAAGAACATTATTAGCGCTACTGGTCTGCGGAGCAGAGTGGCGCAGCGGAAGCGTGCTGGGCCCATAACCCAGAGGTCGATGGATCGAAACCATCCTCTGCTAGCTTTTTATTTTTTTTTCCTTTTTGTTCCCTCCCACCAACTACGTTACATTCATTTCATAATAAAGTCAACTGATACTTGCGAAAAGAAACCGGAATATTTTTTTCATAGACTCCCAAGTGCTAACTGGTGTTTTCTCTTGATAACAAACCAGATTTATTCTTATTACTTTGCCCTATAACTCCTAAAATCGCTAATCGACGGTATAAGGGTAAGAACGGAAGAACAGTTCAGTTTCTTTCACTACATAATTTATAAGACCTTATTTGCCAAGGGTATGGTGATAGACTAGAAATCCATTGAACAGTCCCGTTAGATATTCTTTGCGATTACTACAGTCTTAATCTTGACAGCAATGGGTAGTGTTTTGAAAAGTGTGGAGTTAGGGAAGTGTGTCAGGGATGGGGGTCTTCAATTTGAAGTCTGAGTGAGATAACCATGTCTGCTGCCAACACTGGTCCTATGTCTTTAATCTTCACCTTCCTGATAATTCTTTTGCGAAGCTATAGCTATGCTCTACGCTTATTTTCTAAGCTATGAATTCACTGTCTCATATTTCTGTCCCAGGAAGAATTCCTGCCTAAATTTTGTGTGTCCGATGCCTTCATGGAAATTAAGAAGAAAAATACTTTAAGTATCCTACAATCTAGATAAGTGTTTTTGAGTGACCTTGAACTGCTCCTCTTGCCTCAGCCAAAAGGGGTTACCATGTCTTTTAAAAATAACTCTTTACTGCATCAGAAAACAAGTTCAAAGGCCTCTGTGTGTGTGTGTGTGTCTCTTTGTCTGTCTCTCTCTCTCATTAGGCTGTGAGGGATGAGGATTTTTATTTCTTCTCAGTGGGAGCTAAAGATCAAGATCAGCCCTTGAGAATAATTGACAGAGCCACCAAGCACCTAGTACCCTTGTTTTCTTGCATCAGACATTAAAAAAAAAAAAAAATTACTTTTTTTTTAAGGGACTGCTCAGTCGGTAGTGGCATACATCTTTAATCCCAGCACTCAGGAGGCACAGGTAGGTGGATCTCTGAATTCCCAGACCAGCCCCATGACAAAGCCCATTCCAGGACAGCCAGATCTACACAGAGAATCACTGTCTCAAAATAATTAATTAATGATGACGATGATAAGAGATTACTTTTCAATCTGTGAGAACAAAACCAGTTGTTGATTGCAGCCCCTAATTACTCAGTTCAATAACTTGGGGCAATTCTTGACCTAACTCAGTGTACACTCACAATTTAAAGATTACAACAAAGATTATAATACAGGAAAACACTGTCACAAAGGTGACAGGCCAGAGAAGGCTTTCTTGCCCTCTGCTCCTTGGTGGCAGATACTCTTGTCTCCAGGTAAGAGCTACAGTAACATCAGCCATTGCTATCTAGTAAATAAAGTTCATTTGAACAGGAGTTGATGTTGTTACAGTGATCTAGTTCCCTGGTGACCACATGTTCACTGGTCATATCTATGTTAAATATGCTGCCAACATGGGTCATAGTAACTCCCTGCTTCAGGGATATAGAATAAAATCACTACCCAGGACCCACGTGCACATTCTGGGATTTCACTTTTCAGAGTGTGATCAAGAATCGTTACTATGGCAATTATCCACAGAACTAAGTGGAAACTGCATAGAGCAGTTCAGCTATGGTAGCTTTGCCTTAGGATTATAGAGTTTGTGACCCCTGGGAAAAGACCATAGACTCAATCCAGTTATAATGAAATGATTGATTGATCAGTTGCTAAGCAGGAAGGACAATCTCTGAGCCAAATTTAAGGTTGCCATGAAGCAGGGGTCTGGGGAAGAGTTTTTAAAGGGGAAAGCCACAGGAAGACCTTCCATATCTATGCAAGCAAGCCAAAACTGTTCTGTTTTGCCAAGTGAAGTGGTTAAGGAAACTCAAAACAACCCTGGGTATCTATGTAAACAAGTTACAGAACAAAAACAAGCAGTCATATGATTAAAAAAATAGATCATTTTTTGGGTGGGCTTCGATGAGTCGTGATTACTGTAAACCTAATCTTCCTGAGACTGCAGTCTGAGACAATTGGTGAGTGGGTACCAAGATGCATAAAATGTATAAAATGAATAAAATGGAGTTTCTGCAGCCATCACACTGGCATATATAGACCAGAAAAAAGGGTGGATTTTGATAAGAAACTTGAGTAAGTGCTTGCAAGACAGCCAAAAAAAAGCAAAGAAACAAATAGAAGGACACATGAGGGCAAAACATTTCTAACTATAATAATTCAGTGTGGAAGAATATAAAGGTGAGGGAGGGGATTCTGCAAAAAGAAGTGGCCACCCTCAGCTCAGCTATTCAACCACTGGAAATGGGAGGAAATACTAGAACACAGGACACCTAATACAGGCTGTATGGGATTGCTTCCCCATGTATGTCTGGGGCTGTCTATATTCAGCTATGTAAGACTGGCCATCTTAAATTGGTCATCTCTACCTTAACATTCTATACACAAACTTAGCAAAATAGATCTTAAACACACACACACACACACACACACACACACACACACTTCACCCTCTCAAATGTTCCTCCAACCCACTCACTCAACACAAATTTTGAGGGTGGTCATTTGTTTGTTTTACAGGATTTTTTAAATTAAAAAGTAATTATATCATTTTCCCTCCCTCTCCACCCAGCTCCTCCCATATACATCCTGTCAAGCCCTATGAAATTCATGACCTCTTTCATTATTGTTATTATTATTACATACATATATATAAAAGGATGGACATAAATGCAACCTGCTAAGTCCATTTAGTTAACACAAACTTTGTTGTAACCACAGAAAAAAAACGCTTTGAAGATGGATATGACTTCCATTCTCACCACTTCAGCCACCATTTCCCATGGTAGTTAAGGCACAGACTGCACTTGCCATTTGAACATCTGAGCAGCTTTCCAAGCAATCTCCAACTCCAGAAAGAAAGAGAACATCATTCTGTTATGGGGTCCACCAGAGAGGACTTCTCGTATGTGAGTTAAGCCAATCGAAATTCTTTTTTAGACAGCCAGGGAACACACAGTGTGTTCAAGATCCCAGTGTCGCGCCCCAAGCCTTCTCTAGATGGGCTTTTAAGCACAAAAAAAAGGGGGGGGGGGATATATATGCCCTGGATTGACATCAGTTAACAAGAACAGTTAGCCAGAAGTAGAGGTGTAGGTGCCAAAAAGCAATGTTAGTACATTTAAAGACTTTCCCAGAACTGTGGATTTGATGGGTTAGATCTTTGTTTTCATTTTTGCAGGTGGTGCTGTCTCCGTGCTGACTTTTACAGACTGAAAGGCACTTCCACCATGGAGTCAGTTGGGCTAAGGTTCCGGGCCCGGTTACAATTCCACAGTCAGCTTTTGCAGAATGTATTTAGGTGAGCAGCTCACCTGAAAAATGATTGAGGGCTCCAAAACAAATATGTGTGTGTAAAGAATTCACATTTCTATTTCATTCTTGCTATTTTCTAGATGTTATTCTACTGACAGGAAAGAAAGGCTGCATAAAAAGCCCCATTTCTGAACTCCAGAAACTGTGTAGCAATCATGAAAGTATCACAAACTCTATGAATGTTTCTTCTCTAAAATGATTTTAATGCCTTTTTTGATTCATGAATTAAGTGTAAAAACTGATAATAGTCATTTTTTTTCCTACTTCTCTTCTTAGTGAAAGCTAACTTAAAAATAATTAATGGCCTTGGACCTCTCATGACACCAGAGGCTTCCAATGAAACTAATTTTCCTTTTTCAAGTGAACAAGTATGTATCTTGAAAAGTGCTGTAACACCAAGTGATAAAAATCAGCAGAAGTACCAAAAGGTGGGAAGGTAGCTTTGTCACGCTGGAGGGTAACACCCACGCAGATGTAAGGGAGCATGAACAGGAAAGCAGTTCCGAATACAGGCAAACGAATTTTCTCTCCGTAAACCAGCCATGTATTGCAATACCGAAATAATTCAGTCTCATCATTTCCTGAATCCGACCCTGTGACCCCAAATAATCTACAGAAATCCGCGGCGTGGACCGAATTGCCTTTTATGATGTGTCGCAAGAGCTCAGCCGAAAGTTTCTTTTACTTTCTATGTCTTTTGAGGGAACCGACCTACGGCTGACCACGTGGCCTAATGGATAAGGCGTCTGACTTCGGATCAGAAGATTGAGGGTTCGAATCCCTTCGTGGTTAGTGGGG